TCGGAACATTTGATCTCTGTTGTGTGATCAATGATACACTTCTACAGGAATATCTCGAGTACCATATTCAAACCAGCTGTATTCTCAAGTTTGCGCATCAGCACCATTGTTTCTCGGTACAATCGGATTCAGCAGATTCTCATCATTCCGGAAAAGTGTATGTGTTGATGAGCGATTTTGCATATTCCCATTAAATATAGCCGAATTGAGGTGGGTATGTCATATAGCTGAACGAATTCTTTACACCTTGAAACGGTACACATTTGATCAATATATCTATCAGTCACTGCACCACTATAGGGCTATCATGCGTACCATTTTCAAATCAGCTGTATCCTTGAGTTTACACAGCAACACGCGAGTTCCTTACAAAACCGACTTCAGAAGATACTCCCTTACAATAATTTGCTATTTCCACGGATAACGTCAGGAGAAATTCGGAAATCAGTCCGGGCATTCCTCAGTGACGTGAAAGAAATTAATTTTTTGGAATGAAACATGCATTTTGAGAACATGATTCATCCATTGCGGAATAAATGTGAACCTCAGCAACTGAAAACTTATAGAGGTATTAGTTCACCGACCCCCCTTAATTAATCCCTGACACCTCGAAATTACTCCTTATGAGAACTACTGTTTCAGATCATATGCTTTTCATAAAGGTTATTTTTCGCTTTGTTTTTTTCATGCATCATCATGCGATTGATTGATACATTTGCCTGGTATGACCATCCAGTGATGCTCAAATATCCAAGAATTTAATCCCAGTTGTACAATAATGTTTATGCATTATTGCATAGTAAACAACTGACATCATATAGTTGATTTGATGGGAGAGTGTCAATAGTACGCGATCAATGCATAGATGAGGAGAGAAGAAATGAAGATCTCAGAGAGGATCAGGGACAGTTGGCAAGAAGGAGAATCGTGGATGTGGATGAGAGATGTTGTCATGTGTGGTCTTGGAGAAGGACTGTGGGTGTCACCGAAAGGGTGGGATGTGACGTAACGTTGTCGAGGTTATTCGTATCTGGCGGATTTGCAATTTCATATAGTTACCGCACATTGTGATCAGTTATATGTCATTTCTATGCTGCATTCAGTCTCCGGTAATGATAACTATACGTTCAGACGCTATTTTTCGAATCATCAAAATGCTTTCTTCTTTGTACTTTCAACAATTTGCAGGCACTGCAAGTTCTGTCAGAGAGTAGAAATTTGTCTCTTTTTCATGATAGATTTGTAGTCGTCAACATTTCGTTCATAATAGGCAACGAATTGTTGTCCAATTGAAGGAATGCTATAAAAAGGGATAATCGATGGAAAGGAGAAATGGATAAATAATGCATCATCGATGTTTTAGTGTTTGTGTCTCATCGTCAATTCATAAGCGTTGCATATTTGCATAGTGTAAACGTAGTCTGTATGTTAGGTGATTGGAATACCTTTTGCTGAATGTTTGTAAAGTGTTATTGCATACCTGTGCAATTTTTGTGCATTCATTCGACATGTGTGCGTCACAACAAAAACCTGAATTCGCTGATTCATAAGGCAAAATTGAACTCATATTTACGTCTGTTTCTTGGATGTTACCATTTTTTTGATTGACGTTACTATTACCATTTTACCAAATGCACGTTGTACACTATTCTGCGACGATTCCGATCATAAACTTCATCGCTGTCATGCTCTTTAATGTCCTCCTTTCAGTTAAGAGTCATAATTCAACCCTTATCAAAACCATTCAACGCCTTTCAAGAACGTTAATGTCACCGCAGTATAATTGTCTGTTCTTTTTCCAATTGTTTTTGATTGTGCTTTAACAATATTCAGCTACAAATTTTTCTGATCTATCGTTTGCGAAATTTCGACTGCTTTCGAACCTCGATTAAAATATCCTAGTTTGGACCATTTAAATGGTCTAAGGTACAATTTATTTCCATGTTCTCGTTCAATGAAGAGAATTCGTGAGTAGTCCATGTTTTCGTATATCACCTAAAAAGTAAGATATTTGTTAAGAACCAATTCCATTTTTTCTGAAGTAATTTCATAGGGCTTTCACGAGTTGAAATTATTGTTGCAGTAGAAATTTTTACCCTTTTAAGTTATAATTACGATCATCTCAGAGGTGATATTTTTCTTCGCATTTCCATTTAAAATTTCTCATAAATAACTAATTTTATATTACTCATTTTTCCGTGCAATTATCCTTCCTGCAAATTTCTTCTCATGCATCATATTAAATGCTCTCGGCAGCATTTCTTGCCTCCTAGTGTCCCTCAGCTGTGAAACTATTACTTCTTTGTAACAGAATCGTTTGGTCTTGAACGAACTCAATTCAAGTAGTATCGCACTAATATCGAGCGACTCAAATCATTAAATAAATAGCTGATTTTTGAGATGTATCGTTCGAGTATGTGCTAAAAATCGTGCTCAACCAAATGAATAGCCATGCACAAGTGGTAATACGTTTCGTTCGTTCTGTTTTCATTTCATTTCACCGTTCTCCTCATTGTTCTATTGATTTTTTGCAGTCATGATGTTTTTCATCCATTGAAATATTTTGATACGGTTTTACAAAACCTTTTAAATGCTACATTCCAAATTCTTCTTACATCGTGAATCATGAAAACTTCTGCATTCACTGTGTTCATTTCTTAACGAGATTGCCACTGTGGGATTCGGTCTTTTCTATAGTCTGAGTGTGTCGATAGCTCTGATTCTGCTGCGATCAATGAAGCGCAACTAATATAGAGGTTCAAGTCAATTCTGATTGTTTATGCACACAAGAAACTGAATAAGTTCCTTCTTAAGATAGCTCATAAATAATTAAGAATATCCGCTAGGTAATCTGAAAGGATTAATAAATGTGAACGTGGATTGGATGAAAATGAGCTGAAATAAATCCTGATCGATTCGTTCAATGGATTAGCGTATTGATTTAAGGATGATTAAGAATTGTGTTTGATGAGTAAATAAAACGATTCGTTATTCATGTAATGAATATTCTGAATGTTATGTGTTTAAATAGTGACGAATCTTATTTACTCAATACCATAGTTCAACCTATTTTAAATCTTCGTTACATTTTATAGTGCTGCACGTTTTAGTTGCTTTCTCCTCTTGCACTTTTGGTTTCTTGTCGAGCGTTGCTTCAAGGAGCGAGTTCTGGATAAGGCTGGTCGTTGTATTTTCAGCATCAAAAATTATGCTAAGGATTCGTTATACTGCTTTCAATAAGTCAGTCAAATTCACGGAAAGTTAGGCACAGATTTACAATATGCATGAAGTCTTGAATCGTTATAGGTATTACCTTCTTCATTAGTTGACAGCGTTGCACATAAGCAATCCTTGTTTCTTGACGGCTGATGTCAAATTAAATAGTCTGGACCATGGACGGATCTTAATTTGTGTGATAAAAGATGCGTGAATGTGGAGATCGCGTTTCATAGCTTAAATTATGAATTCGTTATGAGATATCATTCATAAAGTTTTGATACGTTCAGTTTCATCGTACGTTACGTGTGCAATGCGACGCAAAAATTATCATTCGGTTCATCTCGGATGTTTCAAAATGATATATGTCACAAATTTTTTCGCATTGTCTAAAGAACAAAAAATTTTATTGTGTTGGACGTTATCATTTTCAAAAAACGCGATTATGTCAGTGCATCCGTTGACGCATTCCATGCTAACCGTTACGTCAGTGGTAAACGATGATAAGAAAAATATTTTTATATCGGCAATTCATACGTTCTTCGTTTTAGAGAATTGCCATTTTTGAGTGTGTTGTGCAGGGACGTTGAAAGGTGCATGCAGGAGCGTTTGTTTGATTTTTAGAATCATTTGAAAGTTTATATAAAGGTCATCTACCTTTGTCAGTGGTACTTTAATACTTGTCGATGGTTCGCGGCTAAGTTTCGCAAACGGATGCAATAATTTGGGGAGACAAGATAATTTTTCAGAGATTCATCGAAAATGAATACTAGCGAATCGTCATTGGAGACAAAATGTAAGGATGGACTTTTGATAAAAGCGATGTCCACCACTCCAGCGAATACTCTTATCTATTTTTTGGGACTTCTTTATTGTTTCCTGGGAATTGCAATCGCTGCCGATTTATTCATGTGCTCAATCGAGAAAATAACGTCTGCTACGAGGTAATCGCTATCAGCATAATTATCCACATTATTATAATCTATTCCTTTCCTGTTCTAATTGCCAATATAATCACATCGTGTGTTTTTGTTCAACGAAATTGGTCCTATTCAACATAGCTTTTGTTTCTAGCCAATTCAATACACAAAAAAAGAAAACTGCATTCATGGTTCGTTTGAAGTGCATACTGTGCATTAGTTGTTGATTAGAAACCTGACTGCTTCAAACTGAATCACTATATATGTAACCATAGATAAAGACTGGTCGAAGCTCTGTGCGGTTGTTCTATAAAAATATATTTAAAAAAAACGAATGTATGCAAGAACTGTAGTATAAGAATAATATGCTTATAAACTCTCGCTCTTATAATAGTTCGATATTTTCGACTGGATGCTTCGATGTCATGAAAAATAATGATAACACGATTCCTGCATTCACCGAATCGATCTTCCGAAAGATCAGTGTAATGCCATTCATAAAAAACTAGTTCAGCCCAATTGTGAATTACTATTTGACAATTTGGACCATCATTTGAATCGATCAAATTTCCCCCATTTAATCTCCCTGCATATAATAATTTCGCTATTCATTCACTTAGTTTTATTTCGCGTAGCTTTTTCATGAATCAATGAAGAATTTTGATTTATAGTAGCAATGTGAGATGAATAATAAGATAAGTTTTTTGGAAAGCTAATCTCAGTGGATGTGAAACTCTGGTTGGTAAACTTCGAGGAATGCTCAAAATGATGAAATGCCGAACTGTCAGTGCTGAACTAGTGACTGGTTAACAATAATTAACCGTAATATAGGAAGGTCAGATTGAGACGATCGAAAAAAAACCGCTTAGTGGCTGAAGAACTGATGACTTCTGAACCAGAATCTACTGAAGTTCGCGTTTGGAATCCAACTGTAGCTAATCTCACACTAATGGTTTCTTTTTTTTACATTCATAACATTGAGTGCAATTCTCCACAAATTTTTTCAACATATGAAGTCGTCAAAATTCTCTGATAGCAATTGAGGGATCAAATAGACTCAAGGATCGCTTCTGGAAACAGATGAGCATATAAATATCGATTTTTCCTTTTTTTCAAATATCTTCATTCGTGACATTTTCAAATATATTCATTCGTTAATCGTTGAACATTCATACTGTTGAGGCTCTCGGCAGTAGTGCACCTGAGATACTCCTGTCCATAATCGAAATTGCTGGTAACTCGTTCCGAATTGGGGACCTCGGACCAGGCACAATAGTTGGTTAGTTAATTAGCGCATCTCGTCTTGCAAATAGCCATAAATTAACTGCAACTTAGCATTGGAGGAATGAACCAAGCAAAACAATTGGTTGTACTTGGCTCGAAGTTGGTGCTATGAAATGCATAACCAACTGAAATGATTGCAAAACATTCATGGAAAAGAGATGCATCACCAAATCAATTGCTTTAAGGGTCAGCAGCGTTCAACCTTCTCTGTATAAGTGCCATCTGCGTAATGGCCATTCCATCACCGAATGTAAGCCGCATACAGGAAATTGCTGTTTTCGGCATCACTTCAGTTTTCAGCTGTTTTGCCTACATCTGGTTATTCTTGGTATGTTCGTTAGTATTTGAATGATCGATATCCTCGAGTGATGCTGCTTTCTGGTAGTTTAACAAATTCTTGAATCAAAGAAATAATCAGTATTTATTTATGGATCATTTTTGTGATATTATTACTTTATGGATTATTACTTCATGGATATTATTACTCTTGTGATGTTTTTGAATCCGCTGTTAGTCCTGTTACACCTTTGTGCATAAAATGAGTGTTTTATTTGCGTTGGAAATTCGAACTTCAGATCTTAGCAATTATAACGCCGAACGTAGTTGATATCTGGGAAGCAGCTGTCACACTGAGTTTGTTCGTCGTACTCGTCATTGCCGCATATATGGCGGATATTAAAGTGTGGAAGAAACGAAAGGCGGACCTTCAAGTAGAACTGAGTGCCGAATTAGATGATCAGAAGGCAATCGAAAAAGAAGATGTAGATGCCATCTTAAATCGTTTCTCGAAGGAATTGGCTATAGAGAGTGATGCGGTAAATGAATTTTTTAAATTCTTCTTATTGCTTCAAACGGTTCAGCTGGTGCAGAAGGCCTGATTCACTATCGAAGAGATTTTAGTAGAAATTCATTCGAAAAGTTAAAGAATTCAATCTTAGTTCAAAAAAGTTGTTGCAGAATGAAGTGAAAGGACGATTCTTGAAATTTGTTGATTGTGAAGTTGTCTGAAGCGATATTTAGAAACGAGTAAAATTTCTGTCACTAACGGTGAACCAGCATTACCACTGTATCAGTTTTACTCGGATATACCATATATCTTTACAAGTTATGATTTTGAGTTGTGAAGCGAAATTATTTTTAGAGGATAACATCGTGTGTGGTACCTGATTTTGAAACAGTTAGAAAGATTTCCCGCCGTATATCAAGGAGTTATCCGTCACTTTCACAGGAGGATCAAGCTCGATTGCTTGCATATCGACTGAAGAGAAATCAAGTTTGTTCAGTGGAAATGTTTAGATTGTCTTGTTTTCGATTCCAACATCACTGACCATTGGTGATTGTTCTTGTACTTATTTGATGCTGTGTGCTCATGAAGAAAAAACTCCGTAAGAAGTCAAGATGTCCATTCATTTGCTAATATATTGGAACGGCGTTTCAGTTGCTGTTTCCGAAGGTGGTGTCCCTCGAGGTGAACGTGACCGTTCGAATTTTGAATGGATGACTTGAAAAGATCAATTCTTGTTGATGTTCTCATGTGTTCTTGACAACACACTGACATCCAGTTCCAATTCAGATTCGCGATCGGCTGTGGTATCGAATAAATGCTGCTCGTCACATGGCTGCGGCACTACGCAAAACTGATGCTGAGCGTGAGGCTGAGAAATTGCTGGACGAAGCGAAAAAAGCAAAAGAAGAAGTTGCGCTAAGTCTGTGGTGTTCTCTCGCTTAGAATTAAAGTCGATTGGTTTAAAAATTTGACGTTAAGCTCAGAAAGCAATCTTTAGTACACGTAACACCCATCGATATTCGTTCCCTTTCCGATGGACATGAAAGATCTATCGAGTTGCACTCTCATGTTGCGAATTTCTATTCCTTCACTGTTCCAGGAAAGCGAACATTAGAGTTTTCGGCTCGTGTTTATGCGGTTCGGAAAGGTGTATCAACCGTCCGATTAACGGTATGTTTACTTCTCCGTTAATAATATCAGTTGTCGCCGACTCTACCGTTATGAGCCACAGAAAAAGCAAATACTTCAATGATGACTTTCCCAGCTGTCATTTTTCTTGAAAAATAAATGTATAGCGGACAAGCTGAAAGAGGCTTCAAAATAAACCGAAACCAACTACACTTCTGCTATATACTTGCGTTGCATGTAGAAGTTCGCATCAAAGTTCCTTTTTCTTCATTGAAGGTACTTCGTCGGGGTCCAATCGATAGAGGACTCAGCTTCCGATACATTACTGTAAATGGTATCGCAAAAAAGGACCTACATTTTCTCGCCAAATCTGAAACGGTGTGCATTTTTTTCACTGTGGGATGATTACTGTCACCTGTTTTGCTACTCTTTTATCGTCGAAATTCAGGGTGTATCCACTATCGCCCTGAAAGCTCTTTCATTCAAGGAGAAAAAACCTTCCTTTCAGTAATTCTGGAGCACTTTTGCGCTTCATTGAATGCTCAATCTTAATGAAGCTTCAGAACTGACGACCGTATTCAACTGCAGTTGTGAATTTTATAAATCACGTCAAAAGAATTCTCACGAAATTTAAATGACTTCAAGTTTCGCTGTCGCGTTTGCATCAACTTTACTCGATGTATTCTTGGACTGCTGACATTCTTCGTTGTCACATTAAATTTTTGCAAATTTTAGATGAGGTTTTTGCCAGGCGAATCATCCAAGCAAATTGTCATTAGCCTCGTTGAGAATGCGGACTGGCGACCGAATTATGTTTTCTACGTTCACATAAAACTGGTAGGCCTATAGCAGTTTTCCCTACATAGAGTAGGAAAAAAACGACTTTGGGACATTTAGATATTCATTGAGCATATTCTATTTTTTATGAACATTGATATTGCATATTGATCTTCGACCGTTGTCAATCAATTCATTTTGAAGGATCCAGAAAGCGATTCGAATGCGAAGACAGAGTTGGGGAGAACGAATATTGCTAGTGTTCGAATGCCTGATGATTCGGGGAGTTTCATCGGTGAGCCTATGGTGGAATTCGTCAGAAATAATTACGTACGTTCATTGGTATTATCAACTGCAACTGTATGGAGTTTAGTAACGCTGTTCATGTTTTCAGTAGCATTAATCAGTCCTTACATCAGGACATTACTTGCCCGTAATTAATTTTCAAGCAACGTTCAAGTATGAATACAATAAATCATTAATTAGGTGGTCAAGGAAAATGAAGGATTCATTCGTGCATTCGTAACGCGTTTGGGTCGCCATGACGCGCATGCATTCTCAGTGAAATATGAAACACTGAGTGGAACTGCGCAAAGTAATATCGATTATGAAGCGGTTCAAGATGGATGTCTCACATTTGTCGATGATGAATATGAAAAATATATCGATGTTCTTATCTATGATGATAAAAAAGAAGAAAAAGATGAAACGTTCAAAATCGATTTGATTTCTACGTCCGGCGGAGGTAAGTACTTTCAACAGAGGCACAACAAAAAATGCTAAAATGTCCAGTTTCATTATTTTTCTGGACAAGTGGTTGCCATTAATAGTTTTGAAGTGAATATAAACGAATATTCTTCGTACAATATGTCAATTGTACGTAGAAATTTTCTTTATAGATGTGACCATTGGACCTAAGAAACGAACCATAATTACGATTGTTTGTGACGACAATTTGCTACAAAATATCGCCAACATTCGAAAACTAATGGGTAATTATCTGCAGAAAATGGCAATAGGCAAAGACACATGGTTCGATCAGGTTAGCTAAAATAATGGCAAGTTAAACTCGCCTTTTTGATAACTCAATTTACATGTATCTGAGTTTTCAGTTAATTTTCACAGTTAGTTTAATTTGCAGTTAATCTATTTCATAAAGCCTTTTCTGGTTGAATCAAAACAACTCGTTCTATTGGTTTGGAATGAAACGAACTTGAAAATGATGAATGATAGAGCATTGCTGATTATACCAATTTAATTTGCTCCAGATTACTGCCGCATCAAGCGTTAACGCTGGTGATCTAGCAAACGCCTCTTTATTCGACTGTATCATGCACGCAATTGCATTTCCATGGAAGTTTATGTTTGCCTTCGTGCCACCTCCTCATCTGTATGGTGGATGGCTATGCTTTACAGTTGCTCTTGTACTTATCGGGATTATTACCGCCGTTGTTGGTAAGCACTAATCGAATTAAAGTTGTTGAGCTGTTGAGAATACATGCGTTAAGCATACTTTTACAATTGGCAGTTTATTAAACTGGCTGTTGAATCAATACGATTCGTCATTGATATATCTATCGGATATTGCTCAGCTGCAAATTTCAAACTACATATGCATTGAATAGCACTCTCACAGTTTAATTTATTGAACAATACAGAGCACTGAAATGCTGTCCACTTTCTGTCATTTTGAAAGCCCCTCTCAGGGAAGTTCGGTTTTTTCTATGTTCTCAAGTGCTCATTTCAGGAGATTTGGCTAGTATCTTTGGCTGTATGATTGGACTTAAAGACTCGATAACCGCAATCACTTTTGTTGCTTTGGGAACAAGTCTTCCAGATACATTTGCCTCGAAAATTGCTGCTCAAAATGTGTTTGTTTCTTACATTTTAAACAATCAAAAATTTCCACAGTGAAACATGATTCCAAATCATCCAATTTTTTCAAACTTTGAAAATTCACGTTAAGGTTGGCTGATAATAAGAGCACTTGATTGGATAATAATCTTATTCTTTTCGAGGAACCAACGGCTGACAACGCGGTCGGTAATGTGACTGGTTCGAATTCGGTGAACGTTTTTCTTGGACTTGGTTTACCGTGGTTAATTGCTGCAATATACTGGGCAACTAAGAACCAAACATTCGACGTTGATGCTGGCAGTCTTGGCTTCAGGTTTAGTTTAGAGAGTGTTAGCTTGTTACGTCGCATCTACTTCTCATTGATCCTATTTCATTTTTACACCTCTTTTGCATCTTTTCGGATAAATTCTTCTTAGATCTCATCTCCCCTTCGCTCGAAATTAACGTTCGTAAACTCCGTATCAAAATTTTTTGTCACTTCTCAAAAATGGCATGAGTTGTTGCTGACAATGAAGAAGTTTATAAGACAGATGCGGTTAAAAGAAAATCGATGAGTCATTGACACCTGTATGGAGATAACTAAGATTTGTGTGTTGCGCGAACATCACGATAAGTGCTATGATCTTTCAGTGTGGCTATCTTCATGATCACATCGGTACTTTGTCTTGCCCTACTGATTGTGCGCCGTTATCTAGCCTTCTTTGGAAAGGGCGAATTGGGCGGCCCATTTGTGCCGAAGCTGCTAACCTCAGTTTTTCTAGTATTTCTTTGGCTGACCTACGTTTTCTGCAATGTTCTACAGGCATATGACTATGTGAAGTTTTAAGCTACCACTCCTCTAGATGTTGAAAATTATTTGAAAGCCCATTAACTCGAAGCATAGCATATTCCTCTAATTCAAACCAACAATTTCGCAATTTCAAGCCGGCAACATAGTATGTTTGCATTTAATATTTCGCTGTTATCTACTGATTACGAATGTATTTGTTCATATTGTATATGAAGATAACTGAATGAGTTTTGTTGTTGTGTGCAATAAGCGTTAAGCAGTTTCGAGAATTCGATTGTTGCCGATCTCGATTTTGTGCGATTGAGGACTGATCATTTGCTCGTTTGGTATTCAGTCATATGCACAAATTATATTATTGTTTGTCGCTTCAAACATTCTTTTATTCAACGTTATTCAGTTTGTTGTGTGAAAATGTTCTCGAACGGACGAGGATCGCGTCTGTGATGCGCACTCGCTTCAGCAACGATTTACGATCGAAATTTCAGTGAACTGTCCTTGTTACATCTATTATGATGTGATCGACACTATGGCAAATGGCTATTTTGAGATGGCTGTTTATGCCTAATCAAATTATCTCAGATTCACAATTTTGTGATCGACTTTTAATGGCAATATTGATGTATCCGAGCGTTATTTTGAGCAGAACAATGTCTTGCGATTCCTCAAAATAACAACCAGTCATGTTACCTACCTCATGAGAGATCATTACAAAAAACCATTTGCTTGCGAGAAATTGTTTCGATTGATTGTAAATCTCAGATAGGTTATTCAATTATGTCAGTCAGATTTATCTTTGAAATGAATTGAGCAGAGCTGTCGAAGGATGGACATGTCAACTATTTCTCGCATAACTTTCTCTGTTCCTGAAGTCATCTTTGTATTTAAAACTACCATTCTTCCATTTTCTTAATGTAAAATGTAAATGTGATATTGAAAACGACGACCAGAAATAATGCGTGATGCGAAAAAATAATAATAATAGTATTAATGATATGAATGTGAAACAACAAAATCCAATACTTTATATGCTATACAGCAGATGATGAGGCGAACAGAAATTATGAAGGAAGCAAATTCATAAAACTGTTTAATTTTTTGGTTAAATCGGTATTCTATGGCGCATAATAAGGCGCTCACTAGTAGCTATTCCGCTCTTCGAAGTGCGGCGATCGTTTTCCCCAAAGGCCGTTTGCAGTTTGCCATGATGATCTGTAAAATTCAAAGAATTTTAGTCGTTCACAAATTCAGCGGAATTAGAAATTTCACTCGATTTATCATTATGTGGATGTTCTGCCTTCATCCAATGCCTATCTAGTGAATAGACATAAAGTTTCAGTTTTTTCTAGCTGTAGACAAGTTTCTATCGTTGACAGCGCGACATTCATCGCCTGGAATAGTTCTGAATTTTTTAGTTCATTTGTAGATTTAGCCAGCACGTCAATTAGTACAGCACAATTGTTTCATCAGAAACATACATTGGCTTCTACTTGACTTGCATAATGCTGAACGTTACCAGTTTTGACCTAACAAACGAAACGATTCGTAATAATTACTTTCCATCTGAATCAAATCACTACCTAAATGCATACTTTCATGCAAATAGATCACACATTGATTGCAATTCATTGAAATATATATATTTAAAAATAACCTCTTCCCCCAGAGGCCATTGGCAGTCTCCCAGGTCGACCTGAAATTTGCGAATTAGCTGCTATATTCAGTGTTTTCTCAGGTCAAGGGGTATTTCAAAACAAGTCTTTCATAACACACTGTGAGTAAATCGTTAAGCAACGCATGCTGATTTTTTGGTAATCATTGTCCAGAACTGCCTAAAGATGGTTATCACTCGGAATGTTCGTTAACAATGCTAATGAGTTCCATTTATCGCACAGGAAAGAAGAAATGTGCACAACTTCAGATAACTTTCGAACGAATTGCATGCAGATCAGTTTTTTCAACTGCTTAAGTAATAGCAAAACTCAATTGCATCATAATTGGAATACATTTTATTTTTATACCGTACGCATCTTGTGGGACTGAAAAAATTACCTCTTATGAGGAAGAGGATGAATGACTCAATATGAAATGTTATGGAACTTAGAAAATGGGTTAAAAACTATGTTCGATGCGTTTTATTAAGGCATTATTACATCCTATGGACAATTACGTTTACTCCTTTCGAGAATTTCTCGTATTATTTTGGCGGATCGGAACGGGTCTTTTCACGTAATCTATGCAATTGAGAAGAAAATTCAGTTTGCTAACGTGACGAAGAAAATGAATTTGAGCAACTGATAAGTGTGAAAGATAAGTAAAATAAGAGCAGGTTTCACATGGAAGCCAATACCATATCGTATGGATTAGCCAATTGTCTAAATCACGATTCATTCATTTGTATTCAATTCGCCATGCAGAGAACACTTCTTTCAATTAGATAAGCCTGTTTTATTAAAGAGAAATGCATTTCTTGGATTCACGATATCCACTTAAGTACGTAAATTATGAACAGCCCATCGAACACAATCTTTAGCATCATCTATTTGTGTGATTACTGAGGCATGCGGATAAATGAGGGTTGATCACGCGATCTCGTTTTAGCTGACTTGCGTCGAGAACATTAGGCTATGACTGCGTTATTTATTCTTAATGCGTGAACATTCTGTCAAGAATTTGCGTATGGATAACAAATACAGTCTATGAATCTTATTATCGAGATCATTTCATATCCTGACCATTCGACAGTGTTTTTACGCAGCTAGTATCCTTGTAACGTCATAACATAGTTGAAAATGCCTAATGAACATATTAAGATGATAGATGATGTGCTGTATAACTGCATTTGTGGATTGATTTTCAACACAACCAAACGAATCATTTTTTTGTTCGGTGGTGAAAATGAAATTCAGCATATTCATCGAATAATATTAGAAAACGTCATTAACGAAAAAAGATTTTGAATTGCTACCTTTTCCCCCAAAGAGAGTTCAACTTATTCCATTGATTCTCTGGTCGTTTCTCCAGAGTCAAATCCTGCAAATGGCGGATGAAGATCAAATTCTCATTATAACTGACCGTATATTCGCTTCTTGCTTCTACTGCATTAGAAGTTTTAGGTAAGCATTTTGAAAAAAAAAAGATAACATTAAGACTTTTACATATACATGCATCCTCCGACTGCATTACAGTTCAGCTTATGAAGCGTTTAAAGATGGTGGCAGTTCAGTTCGTTGAAATAAAAGTGATGAATATTTGAACAGTCCCGCGACATATGAAGGAACTTACGAAAAAGTGTGGTGGTACAGAGCGTTTTCCCCATAGACCAACAGCTTGATTCCAGTTGTTGCGTTTGTAGAGTTGATTGGCCAGTGCAGGAGGGCTTGTTAAGCAGATAGCAATTGCAAGCAAAACCAAACTCGCCCTGAGTGTCTGAAGCACCAACGATGACGACTGCTGACAACACATCGCTTTACAATGTTAATGATGCGCTTTTTTTGTCCACTCCTCAAAGCACACTTAAATTCATATTTCACCATTTTTATTAATCCTCCTGTTTACGTAATTTCGACGCTTCGTACAACAAAAATAACATAAAATGGTTAATTTGCATATGAAATGTTCGAGAAGTACGAGATGAATCTCTGAAGATTTAGTATATTCTGCCACATTGATCACTGAAAACAAATACTCCCAATGAATATTCAATCATTCCTCTACACTTTTATACCCAGCGGTTCTCACGCTCTTGCACTTTATGCTCCCTTTTGGCCGTATGGCAAACCGTCATTTTCTCGCTCCCCATCCGACAATGTGCGTGACCGCAATTTCCTCTCTCTCCACTGGTAAACCATCAGTTCTCAGCGATAAATCAGAAGGGAATGGGAAAATTGATCCATTGATCAAGGAATATGTTGCCAAGAATCCGAATCAATTCTTGGTGATAAAGCAAGCATTTTGAAAACATTACTCCACTTTTTTAAAATGAAAACTATCAATCAACAGTGATTTGTCAACCTCCTCAATTTTTCCACACCACCCTCCCTCGATAAGGAGCACTATCACACACAACTCCAATTATTTGTCATATCAATCGATATTGGTCAAAAATCGGTGAGATAAATAACTTGATAATAATGGCAACAGAAATAATAATAAAAATTATAATGATAGCATCTAAGCACAAATCTAATAATTCTATAACGATTGCTGATACCTAAGATGATAAAAAAGTTTCGATGCTTGCAAGATCTCAATAAATATCAAACTGTAATGCTTTTGAGCACAGTAAAGAGAATATGAACAAAAGTTAGTCGCAATTAGCTAGCAATCACGCAATAAGTACTCATTGATGAACAAAAATTGTTTTGTAAGAATTGTGCAAAAGTGGTGGATGCGAAATTGTAGTGATTTAAGCAGCTAAAATTTCTATTCAGTACCGAACTGAGCGAATGATAGCAACTAAAACAAAACAACGATAAATTAAGGAAACGAATACGATTGTTCCTTTTTTCTCTTCTACTTCATCGAATCTTTACAAGTCAATTTCACGAATACAATCATTCAGAAAGTTGATTGAATGTGAGAAGAATCACATTAAAAGCACAGCAACAAAATGATGTCGTTGCTCTAAATATGTTTTCCTGTTCAGCTCACTCATTAATACTAGCCATTCTTGAAGCTGCGTTTCGGAAACTGATATAAATGAAAATTTAAAAAGGCGATGAAATGTGTGACATCAAACTGATAAGATTTATCATTATCCTCTTAGCAGCTATTCGAAGTAATTCCACTTTATGTGCCACTTTCTTCTCATCGTAAATGATGTAAAATTGAAAGATGAACAGAATTGGGTGATCAGAATAACGACATCATGAAGTCTTTTTTGGTATTTTCCTCAGACAATATCCTCGGTGATACACTGTGATGCTGACCAGCTTTTATGAGGGACGCAGATTAGATAAAATGAAAATCAGTGAACATCCGTCAGAGAAGCTGGTAGGAATTATCAATTTGATATGCTGTTCTCAATACATTCTTTACTCATCAACTGAAAATTTTGCTAGCAGCATGTTGCTTGAATCATATATGCGTATTGACACTTTAATCTAGATAGTTTTGAAAATTCAGCATCTTTTCTGAAATGCAATAAGCAAAAATATCGCATTATCCTTTCTGCTGCGGACAAAATTCAGTCTTCGCGTGAGTTGCAATAGATCATATGGATTTGTACAGGCCATACATTTAGGGTCTATTTCATGATATCTGCCAGAGCTTCACAATGTAACAGCCGTATGTAACAACTAAAATAATGATAAAAACTTATGAAAGGCATACGGTGTATTCAGAAAATAGAATCGAATCACACATTAATGCACAGCTTGAAACGAATGAATGTAAATAACGAAGAGCAATGTTGAGCAGCAATCTAGCTAATCAAGTACGCCAAATTGAGGCTATCAGAAAAGAAGATGGTAATTCCTGAGGAGTGTGCAATTCAATTCTCGGCGCATACAACTCCCGAGTGCGTCCACGCCCTCATAGCAAGAAAGCATTCGACAATATCCTCTTAATTGTATTCCTTCAAAACCACACCTTTGTAAAAGAAACGCTCTTCCATTGACAATCTAAGTATTACGCATGCTCCTCAATTGGATTACTGACGCAAAACCGAAAGTTGAAAAAAAAATCTCTCCTCAATAGCTCCCAAGAGGTTGATGATTCGATGTGAAAAGAACAGATTTCGATTAGAATAAGAATTGCTGGCATTAATTTTCTCATTATGATAGGCTATCTCGTTGAGCATTACGACAGCAATATCGCTAATGCGGAAGAAACAATAACATTCGAAAGTCACTTCACTTTAGCCACTGAGCGTCTCGTTTTAATATTATACTTATCATAATTGCGATCAACAGCGCTTGAAGCGATTCAAACAAAAATATGTTTGTTATTGTGATGGAATTTTCAGAAGACTTTCTGATTTGCAGCTCATTTAATTAACAAAAATGCTGGTGCTATGATCATCAAGCAAGCAATCGACCACGTTCATTGTGCTAACGAATCTTAATTTCTATTCCATAACTTCTATTTAGGGTAAACATTATATGATAAAACATTTGATTGCAAAAGATAGCAAGTTTGGGACTCTACAACTGTTTCTGAATTATTCATTCTCGAATTTCATGTAAATTTATTTCCGGTGATAAACTATCATAACACATTTGTCGTGATCGTCAGCCACAAGAATAAATTCGTTTTCAATGCTGTTCGTTATTCGACTTCGAGTGAACGTTATTTGACCGAACGTTAGTGGCTCAATAAATGCCCCTCCTCGAGTAGCCGGGAAATAATCTGATAATCGATGTTTTCAATAGGTTCAAGTCAATTTATCTGTCGGATCGTTGTCACCAAAACATTGCATATGTGTATTCTTATGTCTAATGCAAAACTGAAAGTATTCATGCTCAGTCATATAAAGCGATGTTTTTAAAATTGCTTATGCGCTTGTTAGCCTAATGAGTTATATGATAATCAGCAAATATTTCCCATAGGATATAAATGTTAAGTAAATATATATCAAATTTCAGAACCTCTATCACTTGCTTAATAAGCATAGTAGCTTGATGAACAGTAACCTTATCGAACTGAAAATAAGCAGTGATGAGCACGCCACTGGAAAAAATGTAGCTTTACTACTTGCTAACTCGTTTAAGAATGTTTGTTTCGCAAAAAATGATCCGCTAGCAGCGCTGTTGAAGAAGAAGAAGCGAAAACATTCCGCTGAAAGTGCCGATAGTTGAAAAAATAGTGGTAATTTTCGTTAAAACGCTACTCAGCAAAATAAATTCGCTAATCGCTATTTTCAAATCCTTCTTCACAATTCACAATCGTGTTTTGTTTGGGGAAAAAACCGTCAGAAATTTGTCAGAATCTTTCCAGAGTTCGTGGAAAAGATCCAATTTATTCGAATGGAACGCCCTTATCAAAATGTTAGGATAATGATAAAAACCTAATGATATCCAAATAAAGAATCACCTCGTTGAGCCCGCAACATAATAAGGACGAAACCGGCTCCGACGAGGCTAACAATAACTCATGTTAGGGTTTTTGAGAACTGCATATCACTTTATGCTTGCTTTCTTGCGAAAACAATTATGGGGAGGGAATTGAAGTTAAAAGTAAATTATGGTAATTAGGATGACGGCCGTAGCCAACAGTCAACGCTGTTAAGGGTTATTAATGAGGTAATCATATTCCTTACCTACTCAAGAACTCCTTATCCGCTCACACCTCCTTCCCACTGCTAATGAAAATATCACCATTACTATTTATGCAATAATATTTAGATATCCTTCACTTAAGATGTACATTTTGGTAATGAGGTGACTGGGTCCGGTCAACATACCAGTGCAATAAATTGAAATACAGCAAAACTGATTAGTCCCCTATAAACGGACCCTAAAGAACTTAAAAGTCAGGG